ATGTCATACATTTTTTTATCAGTGAGAAGATACCTCAGCCTTCCTTTTTGTGACAGCCATTGAGGGACTTATAGAGGGATATCATGCACAACCTCAGGCACATATTCAATGTGGAACACTGCCCAAAGACGGAGGGAAGCTGAGCTGTATGTTTTCATATTGGGGAACTGTGGTTTCCCATTGCATCCCAGTTGTGGGGTGATAATTAAAAGGAAATATACCAAATACTTTCACAGAATCATAGGCTCATAGAACAGTAGAGCTGGAAGAGGCCATGAAGGCCACTGAGTCAGACCCCCTACACTTGCCGGACACCAAGTCACACCCTCCCACTCAGGTGGCTGCCCAGTCTATTTTTGAACGTCTCCAGTGTGGGAGGGCCCCCACCTCTCCAGGCAGCTGCTTCCACTGTCCTGTCGCTCTGACCATGAGGAAGATTTTCCTGATATCCAGGCTGAATCTGGCTTGCTGCAGCTGGACTTGATTATTCCATGTCCTACATTCTTTTACCAGTGAGAAGATACCTCGACCATCCTCTTTGTGACAGCCTTTGAAGGATTTATAGAGGGATCTCATGTCCCCACTCCTCTTCTCAAGGCTGAACATGCCCGGTTCTCTCAGTCTCTCCACATAGGGCAGTGTTTCCAAACTGTGCATCTTGTCTGGTGCTCTCTGCTGGACCCTTTCTAATTTGCCTGCAATCTTGGTGCCCAGAACTGGACACAGTATTCCAGGTGAGGTCTGACAAGTGAGGAGCAGAGACCTATTTTCTTTGTGAGCACTGACCAAAGAGCCTTTTGCTGGAATTTATCCCTTCGTTCTTTCTTTCTTGATCTCTTACAATAAAGACAAAAACAGTAGCAAAAAAAACCCTGGTCTTCATCTTTTATTGTAGGGTTTTGGGGGGGTTACATTTGGTCACCCCACAGAAGATCAGAAGATCAATTTAGTGCTTTGACAACAAGAACCTGTCCCTTCACAGAAGCTCCCTGGACAGGAGAGAGAGAGAGAAATAGCGAAAGGGTGGCAAAAGAGAGAGAGGGTGATAGAGAAAGAGAGAAGAAAAGAAGAGTGATAGAGAAAGATCCAGTGAGCTCTTGATAAACTTGAACACTGGGCTGAAAGCAACAGAATGAAATTCAATAAGGACAAGTGCCAAGTCCTCCACTTAGGAGAAAGAAAACAAAGGCATCGATACAAGATAGGGAAGACGTGGTTCAATAGAACTGAACAAGAAAAAGATCTCGGAGTCATTGTGGACAACAGGCTAAACATGAGCCGACAATGTGATGCAGCTGCCAAAGGGGCAAGTGCTATTTTGGGATGCATTAACGGAAGTATTACTTCCAGATCACGAGATGCAGTAGTTCCCCAATACTCCTCACTAGTCAGACCTCACCTGGAATACTGTGTCCAGTTCTGGGCACCAAGACTTAAGAAAGAGGCAGGTCAATTAGAAAGGGTCCAGTGGAGGGCAACAAAATGATCCAGGTTTGGAAACACTGCCCTGTGAGGAGAAACTGAGGGAGCTGGGCATGTTCCGCCTTGAGAAGAGAAGGCTGAGGGGGGACATGATATCCCTCCAGAAGTACCTCAATGACTGTCACAAAGAGGAAGGTCAAGATCTCTTCTTGCTAATGCCAGACATGAAACATGGAATAATCAATTCAAGCTGCGGCAACCCAGATTCAGGCTGGACATCAAGAAAAGCTTCCTCACTGTCAGAGGAATACAAGAGTGGAACCAGCTGCCTGGAGAGGTGGGCGGCTCTCCCACACTGGAGGCATTCAGAAGGAACCTGGGCAGCCACCTGAGTGGAATGGTGTGAACTGGTGTCCTGCAACAGCAGGGGGCTGGCCTTCCTGGCCCCTTCCAACTCCACTATTCTATGATTCTATGAAAAGGGAGAGGGGAGAAGAGAAGAAAAGGGCGGCCTCACCTAGCTGTTTATAGGATTGCTTGGTAAGGATGGCCTGGGGGGACCAAAGACGGATTCTCCGTTTTCCCTTCTGTTCCCTCTCGCACCATCTCCCACCAGTCATCTTTTCTGTGCTAATGTTTGCTTTAAATACTTCAAGCAGAAACCGGATTGCTGGTTTGCTTCAGTGAATAATGGTACTAGAGTGCCCTCTGCTGATGCATTCAGGGAGCTAAACGGAGCCAACCCTGAGGAAAAGAGCTGTTAGCATCCCTGAGCTTTGCAGAAGTACAGATAAATAAATGACATAACAAATCGATATGATTTCCTCTCCCAACTGTGACTGTGACCTCCTTTCCTGCAAGCAGTCAATGCAGACTGGACATGTCCAACAGGCAGAGAACTGGAAGAAAGCACAACTAAAGCTCTGAAATGTGGATTGTTCGGAGTTGACGATATAGTTTGCGGGGTCTGGCAGCCCACATCAGCCCACGAGGCAGCTTCTCCAAGCCGCACTCAAAATGCGCAGGACATCAGCCCGAATGTTTTCCCCCTGCAAAGGAGGGCAGGATGCACTCCAACGGAGCCAAGCTCAGGGAACCCGGGTTCAACTTTGATGCCAGGAGGCACTTCCTGACAGTCAGGACCCCGAGGGTGTGGAATGGGCTTCCACGGGAGGGGGTTGAGGCCCCCTCGGTGAGGGTGTTCAAGGACAGGCTGGACAGGCACATCTTGTGAGCAGAGCCGGCCGGAGCCTGGGGTTGGACTAGATGGCCGGGGGAACCCCTTCTGGCTCATCATGTTTCTGTTTCTGTTTTTAAATGTGATCTCAGACCTAAGCATTGGATTTAAACAGTAAGAACACCTTGGAAAAACATGTCGAGTTGAACTGCGAAGGCCAGACCTTGAAACAGGAGTTAAGGAAACGTCTGGGGAGAAAGGGCAGGTTGACCCAGGCCAAGGAAAGGCTTGCAAAGGGCACATCAGGCTCAGCTGTCTGGGAAGATTGCCCCATAAGAAGGGTGCTATTACTGAAATAATGATTATTTCCAGCATGTCACAGTGCAACATTTCGTGGAGCCAAATGTACGTGCTTAAGGATAGGATTCTGTGCATGTCTGGGCAGGAAAATGCACCCTTTTCTCTTCTAAACATGCCTTGGCTCCTGACTCACAATCAGGGAACGATTTTCTGTTCTAGCTGAACTGCCTATCGGGCAGCTCTGCCCTCGAGCTCAGAGGTTCTTCCAACCCCTCGTCTGTAATACGGGGAGGAAGAACACGGACCAGTTTCGTAAGATCGCTGGACATGCCACGGAGGAAATAGGCAGGAACGTTTGTTCACGGCTCCAACCACTAGACGCCATTACCCCGGTAGAAAGCATCCTTTCAGCACCCTTCCCCAGATACATGCTCCTCCCATGTGGGCAGGGTCTTCCTCCGTCTATATAAACCCGTGTAGCCCCCTATTTTTTCCAAAAATTAGCCTTTTCGCATGCCGGGAGGGAGCGGAGCCCAAGCTCCACCTTAAACCTTTACTTCGGTATATTTCCCTCTCGCTTGGCAATAGGCAGTTCTTATTGCAGGCAAGGATCGCTTTTTTGAAACCCATCCAGATTTTCGGCTGACCTTCTGTTCTCCACTTCCAACCCGCCCACCCAAAAACATTTCCTCCCATTTCTTTAGAAGGATCGCATCTCATTTTCTCCTTTTCTCTGCTCGGTGCCGGTGGTGAGGAGACCTTCCCCCATACCGAAGGGAAATCTTGCTTTGCTCACAGTTCTGTTTCGCGACTTGCTTGCACGATCTTGCCTCTTTGCTAGACAGAATGTTGTGATTTTTTTCCTTGAGAAAACCCCATCCCAGATTTGTGCGTGGGTATTTCTGTATGTGCGTGTTTGGAAACAAGAGTGTCATCTGTGTATCTTTCCTATATAGTTATTTTTGGCAGGTAATTTAGAGAAGAGAAAGGAATCGCTTGCCTACATCTCCAGGATGTTCCCACAAGGACGGCATCTCACCGTGAGTACCAGCACCCTCTTACAGGTGGGGAAACGGAGTACCTGCCACACTGGACTGGGGGTCACTGGCAATTCCAGACTGTCACAGGAGGAGGAGACAGACCCAAAGGGGCGCTCTTATTGAAAAGATCATGATAATTGGCGGGGGGGGGGCGGTTAAACTGTGCCACGATTATAAACGCAGGTAAACAACATGAGCACAACATACTGTTTCCCGGGAGCGATTCATATAAATTTAATTCAAAAGGTCCCCCCACCTCCCCGCCTCCGGTGAACCTAATAGGGTTTTATTAGGGCAAAGACGTATTCGGAGGACTGGAGCAAGGATTTCCTGGGACTTCACCCCCCAGCGAGCACACGTGCAGGTTGTGGTCTCTCCCTTCAGACTTTATTCTTTCCTAGCTCTGGCTCTTAGGATGCGTCGCTGGGTTCTGTCCTAAACATGCCTACTCCGAAGTAAGCCCTACTGAAGTCAGTCGGATTTACTCCCAAGCGGCGGGAAACGGGGTGAGGGTTGGGGTTAGCTAAGCTCCCGGAGCTGCGTTACTTCTGGTGATGCACTTCTTGGCTTATTCACACAGAGAGGAGGGTGTTTGTACCCCCCACCCCGCTCAGTCTCCTATTATTATTAAATAAAATCACCCGTAGACACCCCGTGGCGTTCCAAGCCCGCAAGTGGCGGATTCCAGTCTTGCATTAGCAGCTGGAATTGCGGGAGTCCAGCTTTGCCTTCTGAGCTGACTTGCGGGATGCCTTGGAGGGTCTTTTCAATCAAGTGCAGGTGAGTTTGGTGTTATTCTAGCCGCCTCTGTGTTGGGAAGACGGGCAGTGTGAGGAGCTGTGCAGGCAAAAGGTACTCAAGGTGGATTTCTTCTCCCTCATCCTGGGAAAATTCCCTTAAGTAGCGTTTGCCCAAATTTTTATAGATGACGTAGACTCACCCCTCCGGGAGAAAAGAAGGGCAAGCTGCGCTCTTGAGCTGCGAGTTGTTTGTCCTTGTGGTATCCCATTTCCTCCCTTGCAAGGCTTTGCAAGCTGTCCCGGAGCGGTAACTCGCGCAAAATGCTACAGGTGATTCTTCCAAGGTTGTTCCTGCCAGGTGTCTGTCTGCCTTGGCAGCGGCTGCCGGCTCCCTTGGAGACAAGAACGTCCTTCCCCTGCAACGACTGAGCTTGCAGGGTGGTGGGGGGGGGGGGGGGGCAATAGCAAATCATCCAGGGGGGCGACAGGCACTGCACCATCGGGGGCGATAAATCCCGAATGAATGCATTTTCTGAGCATATGCGTGTGAGAATCAGTGCTTTAAAAGGAATGGTTCCCCCAGTGTGAGCCAAGGGTCATTTAAGCTGGGTTGTCTGCGTGTCTCTCCACCACCCGCTTTTAATGCACTGCAATGGAGACTGAGTAGATTCTGAGTTTAGACTGCAAGCAGCGTGAAGGCAAAGACCTGTGCTTAGTTTCCAAGATGCAAGTGCTAGCTGGGCTAGAAGCAGAATAAAGGTGTGCGATTCCCAGCATATTCCAGCCAGCCACAAGGAAAAGCGGAAGCAGAGGGTCTTTTGATTATTTTTATTACTTACACAATCCTCATCCCCCCCCCCCCCCCAATTTGCTTCAGTCTGGGCAACCGTTCAAGTACTCCATCATGGACATTTGTGAGCAGCTTAAGGAAGAGTTCCGGTTCCTCCACACTCAATACCACAGGTATGGCAGGGACGGGAAGGAGAGGACTGGGAGTGACAGGTGGCTGTGACAACTCGCAGCCAAGCTCGAACCTCCATGGCGAGTGGCAGTCTATCTCTCCAGGCAATCTGGCACTTCAGTGAAGTGCTCTTAGATGGCTGGATAGCTGTTTGGAGGACAAGGATCGTTCCTAACTCCTGTTCTCTTTTCTTCTTCTTCTTCTTCTTCTTCTTCTTCATCATCATTTTACAATGGCAGTTCACCGTTTTCAGGTTCCTCATTTAGGAGAGAAAGCTTTCTGACATAGGATGCAAATAGAGCTTATTTGTTGTACTGCACCACAGTGTTGCAGTATGCCTCCCAGGAGATTTTGGGGTTATAGCTTCTCAAAGCCTAGAAGGCTATTACAAAGAGGAAAGGATTGTAAGAAGGCACTTGATACATTCTTCTGTGTCTACAGAGTATTTGCAGTACTTAATGTTCTGTTTGGGGTTTGATCGCTTGTTTGCTTAAAAGAATTTATTTGCGGGGGTGGGGGGCATGCCTGGACGAATTTTCTTTGTATTCCGATTCCCCCGTTCAGCTATGGCCTTTCCATTGCTTTTCGCTGGCCTTGTTTTGTCTCGGTTTCTTTCAGGGCTAGAGGAAATGATTAGTCTAAGATAAAAGAAGCATTCTTACATTTCTCCTTGAATTCCCCCCACCCTACCCCTCCCTCTCTTTATATATATTTACTTTCTCTGCAATCTTCTTCTGCTCTCTACTCCTCACTTCGTGTTAAAAAGGACCCCCCCCCCAAAAAAAGAGGAGAATATGCGTGTGACACTCCCCCTTGGGTCAAGGAATGGTGCAGAACTGTTCCTAGACCAAGTGGCTAAAAACACAGGACCAGGACTCAGCCGATCAGGGTTCTCATCATTCAGCCACGGAGCCCATTGGTGGACTTTGGGCCAGGCACCGTCCTACCTCACAGGGCTGTTGTTGTGGTGGGGATAGAATTGGGAGCAGGAGGCGGAGCATCTGGAGAGCTGCCTTGGAAAAAGGTGAGATGTAAACCTAATGAATAAGCTGGGGCACTCTCTTTTTGCAGCCTGAAGCTAGAATGTGAGAAGCTAGCCAGCGAGAAGATAGAGATACAAAGGCATTATGTGATGGTAAGAGAAAAACAGCCTCTTTCTGCAGCCTTTGTCCTAAATGCAGCACAGTTGCAAAAGCTCAAGGAATTCTGGGCCGGCAACTGAGTGGGGCAGGCCCGGCAGGCACCCCCTGAGTCCGCCTGCTCATGGAACACTGTGCATTCCTTGTGCACAGAACAGACCATTCACCTGTACAGATCACGTCCACTGTTGACTCTGAACCGTGTCTCAGCCTGGAACATGCATCAGGGTGATAACAACTGAGAAGCTGTGTAGCTAATGGGGTGGATTACAAGTCCGAAAAATAAATACTAAATAAAAAGGGATTACCTGTGGAAGTCAAGTGGGAATGCATTGTTGGTACCGCTGCAAGGAAAGATTTAGCTGCTAGTTTAGGCAGCTTTTCTTCCAAAAAAGAAGATAACATAATTTGAGCAAATTCATGAAGGCTCAGGGATGTGGAACCTGAGGATTCCACCAGCCATCTGGCTTTTGCAGAGTCCCCCCTGGTTAAAATTGCTGCAATGCCTCACTTAAGGATTACCGGCTGGCAGGAGAGCTTTAAGCTAAAATACCAAACTACCTCTGTTTTTTCAATTTGCACCACCCACTGCTGGGATTCTATCCCAGAGAACTTCTCCAGAATTTGGAATTGGGGGTGAAAGAAGATAGTTTGTTTGTTTCGTTTTTATACCACCCAATAGCCCAGGCTCTCTGGGTGGTTAACAAAAGTTAAGAAAAAATTAAAACAAACACACATGAAAGATAAAATTAACTTGAAACAACAAATCCGCAACAGCAGCTGGAGCTGAATCAGCATAGAAGCATCACAGTGGTACAGAAAAATATGCAGCAGGGGAAATGAACTTAAAATGTTAAGCAATTAAAATGCCTGGGAATTAAAAAAAAAAAAAGGTTTTCACCTGCTGCTGAAAAGAATACAGAACAGCACCAGGTGTACCCTTTTGGGGCGCTCATTCCAAAACTGGGGTGCCACAACCACCTGGTAGCCACCTGCCTCAATTCCTTTAGAAGGGGCTCCCTGAATATGACCTCATACAAACTTCAGGGTTCACCCATGCCTACAGGTTCCCGATTTGGCACCTAAAACCACTCCAGATTTCTGTTTTTATTGAGAAATGCATGGATATGGTGCTCCTGTTCCAACTGCACTGAGGACTGATGCTTGCAGCCCAAGCGTTGGAAACTGGAAGAGGAAAAAGAGAAGGGCCCAAAGACCAGTTTGATGAGGTTAACTAAATCTGTAAATTCTTCCTTACTAAAGGAAGGAATGTTGTTTTTCTTTCATTTCAGTACTATGAGATGGCTTACGGATTGAATATTGAAATGCAGAAGCAGGTATGTGACGTCTAAGGGCTTTGGGAGGAAAACTGCATAGCACAATGCAAGTAGAATGTCGTGGGATCCGGAATTATCATTTTCGCTGGGGGAGAGATTGGGGATGAACAGAACACCCCCTGCCGTGTCTCTGTGTGAACTTCCTTAATTCTCCTTGCACGAACGGGGTGTCTTGTTCACTACTGGTATTGCACCATCCCAGGCCATGTGTTGACAAAATAAGGAAGCAGGAGGTCTCTGCCCCTAGCAGCTTGCAGTCCCATTCCAACAATATGAGTTCCTAGGGGGCCAAGGCTACTTTTTCAATTCATGCCCTTAGGTCAGGCAGGCAGGTGGAAGTTTGAGTGTTTAGTACGTGAGATGAGAAGCAAGAAGCTAAGCTGAAGGCCATGAAAGAAAGGGGGGTCCAAAGGAGAGGTTTGAGGCAGGGATGAGAGAGGGAACACAAGAGGATTCCTGCTTAATCCAACCAACGGCCTCCCTCTTCTTGCCTTCTGCCTTGCTTTCTGTCTGTCCTGAATATCCCACCTTTTAGCTTCTTGGGATGACCAAGGCATTCATTTATGTACCTCTCACTTAAGTGTGCCACACCTCCTCCTCAATCGCTCGGCTTTTTTCTGAGCTTCCAAAGCCCCAAATATTCAAAAGTTTCCTCGCAGGGGAGCTGCTCCCTCCCATTTGGACTGTGCTGGCTGTACCTTTTCCACCTGTACAGAGAGATGGGGGGCAAGAGCAGAGGGAGCACACCTGAGCCTTGTCGGTGTTTGGGCAGTTGTAGTACAGAGGGGTGAGAGCAACGGAGAGGAACTCTTGAAAGCAAGCCCAAGAATGTGGAGTTTCTGCAGCTGGGAGTTGGAGAAACAGTGACACTGGGCCAGGAGATTTGGAAATGCAAGGCATATTCAGTCTACTGTGTGGAGAATCCCTTGCAGGCCTGCATTTTGGCCCCAGAACGCCTGGGTATCTGACAATCTTAAAAACACACGCATGCAAACGGATGAAAGCAAGGAACGTGAAGGCCTCTGGTGAGCTTCAAAAGGGACTGTTCAAAGCCCCTATCCTGACAGAAAGGTGGACAAGTTAGTCTGAGATCAAATCAAGCCAGAGCTTTCCCTGGAAGCAAAAATGGCAGCCGTGAAGCTGCCTGGACACAAAATAAGGGGCTGGAGTCCTTGGAGAAGTGGAGGGCAGATGGAAGACCAAACATGAGATGGATCGACTCTGTCAAGGAAGTCACAGAACAGTTTTGTAAAATTTTGTAAATTTGAGAAAATTTGACAGTGCTTAACAACAAGCAGTTTGTAAAAGGCAGGCTTCTCCACCCCAGGCTGCTCATTAAGTCTGGGACTACAATCCCTGGCTTATTCCTTTTTCACACAATCTCCCTGAACCTAGTGACAGATTTTATTTTCCTGAGCTACCAGATCACCGTAGATGGGGACTGCAGCCAAGAAATTAAAAGGCGCTTGCTCCTGCGGAGGAAAGCTATGGCAAATCTAGGCAGCATACTAAAAAGCAGAGACATCACCCTGCCAACAAAAGTGCGTATAGTCAAGGCGATGGTTTTCCCAGTTGCAATGTATGGCTGTGAGAGTTGGACCATAAGGAAGGCTGAGCGCTGAAGAACTGAGGCCTTTGGACTGTGGTGCTGGAGGAGACTCCTGTGAGTCCCTTGGACCGCAAGGCGATCAAACCGGTCAGTCCTAGAGGAGATCAACCCTGACTGCTCTTTAGAAGGCCAGATCCTGAAGATGAAGCTCAATACTTTGGCCCCCTAATGAGAAGGAAGGACTCCCTGGAGAAGAGCCTAATACTGGGAACAATTCACGGCAAAAGAAGGAGGGGACGGCAGAGGATGAGGGTGCTGGATGGAGTCACTGAAGCAGTTGGTGTGAGCTTGGGTGGACTCCGGGGGATGGTGGAGGGCAGGAAGGCCTGGAGGAATGTTGTCCATGGGGTTGTGATGGGTCGGGCACAACTTTGCAATGAACAACAACAATGTATGGCCGAGTCAGATCATAACAAAGGCTGAGCGCTGAAGAACTGAGGCCTTTGGATTGTGGTGCTGGAGGAGAGTCCTGCGAGTCCCTTGGGCCACAAGGCGATCAAACCGGTCAGTCCTAGAGGAGATCAACCCTGACTGCTCTTTAGAAGGCCAGATCCTGAAGATGAAGCTCAAATGCTTTGGCCACCTAATGAGAAGGAAGGACTCCCTGGAGAAGAGCCTGATGCTGGGAACGATTGATGGCAAAAGGAGAAGGGGACGGCAGAGGATGAGGTGGCTGGATGGAGTCACTGGGGCAGTGAGTGTGGGCTTGGGTGGACTCAGGGGGATGGAGGAGGACAGGAAGGCCTGGAGGAGTGTTGTCCATGGGGTCGCGATGGGTTGGACATGACTTCGCAACTAGCAACAACAACAACTCCTTGACCCTTTCCCCTTCTGTGTGTTTCATAATGATGCATCCCCTCCCCTTTAAGTGAACCTGATGCACTTTGGTGGAGGGAAGAGAAACCGAAGGGAATAAGGCCCTGCCTACCTGGCAGTGAGCAAGTTTACAAGAAAAAGAAGACATTTTTGAGGGAAAATAAACTAAATGAAGGCAAGAGGCCCTGTTCTTCTTTTATTGCAGGTCAGATTTAAAAGCGCAAGAAAGCCGCTTGTTTTGATGCATCTTTTGGAAAATAGTGAACAATGTACGTAGCCATCTTTTGGGCCTTTTAAATGCATCTTTTGGAAAGCAACACAGGGGCAGGGGTAAAGAAGGAAATCACACCCTTTCCAGGAAAGTCTTTCTGCTCCATGAAGAGGTGTAGCCTGAGTCTGGAATTACACCTTCCAGAGCAAGGGATGCTTTTTGAAAAAGCCAATCCAAGGACTGAGCCCTGACTTTAAAGGTTTAATGATCCAGGTGGGGTTTAAGGAAGGCCCCACAAAGAAGGCAGGATTTGCACAGCTGGCTGAAGAACAGGTGAATACCAAAACTTTAAGAACAATGACAGTGCCAAAACCTATCAAGCCTCTTATTTTTTTGACCTGACCAAAGAGGCCAAAAGTACATTTTTTCTACCTGGACCGCGCTTTTGTTCCAGTTCCAATTTGCTTCCCGTCTCTGGGTGTATCAATCCAGCCATCGTGGGGCTGAGTGCCAGGGAACTTAGGTTGGCACAGTGCTTGAACTAAGTGGCAAGCAACTGCCACCCTGTCTCAGCTGCGTCGTCATTGCCAAGTCGTCTCTTCCTTCCTCCTTTTCCTGCAGTTTGCTCGGGCGGAGAGAACCAGCGTGGGAGGGCAGCAGCTGTATCTGTGGGAGTCACTTGTTGGCTGGTAGTTTCCCAGACAGTTTTTAAATGTTTTTATTTTTGCAAATCCTAGTAGGAACATTTGTGTAATCAACGCGTCTGAATTTCCCTTCCTCTGTCTTCATTTTCTCATGGATTTGTAGCGCTGCACTGTCTCCTCTTGATGCAAACTGACATGTTTTGGTTGAGAAAAGGGAAACCCAGGTGCCATTGTCACCTTCACAAAATTAAAACATCTGGGGCTTTTTAGCTTAGGAAAAGGGCAGATAACGGTGGAGATGGAGCAACATGGTAGAGGCATGCAAAGAGTGGAGAGCAGAGACAGTCTCTGCCCTCTCTCATAATATTGAATCATAGCATCATCATCATCATCATTATTATTATGATTATTATTATTATTATTATTATTATTATTATTATTATTATTATATAATCATCATAGAAATCATGATTTCTCAGAGTGTAGAATTAAAGCATGAACTTTGTTGTTTATTTATTGTTTGCTTTAAATATTGTTTTAAACAATATTTCCAGCCCAATTTTCAGCCCTGTAATCCCTGCTGGGGTGGCTTGAAGTATTAGAATTAACAAAATAAAAACCAATGCATATTGTGTGAATTGGCTAATTTTGCACAAAAATTAGCTGGAAAATGAGTCTGTGATTTTCAGGTGCTGCTTTGCACAAATATCATCAGTCATTTAAAATGTGCACAAAACATGGTCTGTCTTAAAGATGGAAGTCAAAAAAATAAATGCCTCCCACCTTCTTCTGATCCCTGATATTCCTGTTTCAGTTAATCCTTTCTTAAAACACTGAAACATCCTGCCCCTGTGAAGTGTGAGTGGGAAGTTACTATAGAAGATCCATTTGCCAATGGAAATTCATTCTCCATTCGTGGATTCTGGGATTTGCAGATGGGGCATAATTTTTAAAGCTTCCTTGACATTAAAAAATCCAACCAGTGCAGAAGTACTACAAAATATTCAAGGTTTTGAAAAACTGCACACATAAACCACTGATTGTCAAGGACTTCCACTGCTGTTCTTCAGGTGCTGGGTGAGGGCAGGCCTGCAGAATTACACCCCAAAGGCCTTCCATAGGAGGTCGCAGTGGCCACCAATCTGGATCCTTCAGAAGGGACTGGACAGATTCCTGGAGGGGAAGGCTAACTACAGATCCTAGTCTGGATCATTCTATGCTAAATGACCTCTTAAATCAGAGGCACTGTGCCTGCACACAGCAGTGGCTGTGGATGATGGGTGGGGGGGTTGCAGGTTTCCCATGGGCAGCTGTTAAGCCGCTGGTGAATCGCACGTCAGTGAAGTGGTGTGAAGTTCGAAGGAGCTGCCCATGGTTCTGCACCTACATTAGGGCTGCTATAAGCACCACGGACAGTTCCTTAAAAGTCAAGTTCGTGGCATGAAGAAGATACACGGCCCCTAACACTGCAATTTCACAGATAGCTAGGAAAGAACGCCGAAGAGAGAGGCCTTTGGTCAGTTCAAGAACCGTGATTCTGATTCTATGATTAATCACCGTTAATTTTATGTGATGCTTTACGCATGCTCAGGAGCCCTTGAGCTGCATCAACAGAACAGTGTAAAAACTGCCGTTCCTAAGTTGGCCCGCTCCTTTCTCCAAGCCCCCTTTCCTTTTGTGTCGTGTCTTTTTGGAGTGTAATCCAAGCAAGGAGTCACTTTTTCTTTATACGACTGGAGTAAATACCTGGAGAACAGTGATACAGGTGATTATGACAAGATGCTTTTTTTTTTTTTTTTTTTGCTGCAGCATTTTATCAAGATGGCTTTTTTGGCACCTTAATGGTTTCTTTAACCAGAGGCTACTGAAAATGCACAAAGTATTTTACATTCTCATAGGTAAACTAAAACTATGAGAATTAAACCTTAAAAATAACTAATTGCCATGGACCTTTGTTTTGTATGTTTTACCATATTTTATTGTTGATTTTAATCTATAATATGCTATGTTTTTTATTATGCTTTACTGTGCTTTTATCTTGTGTTGTGAGCTGCCCAGAGGTGCTGTGGAATAATTGAATGGCATACAAATGTTTTAAATAAGCAAATAATAAATAAATAGACCACAATTAAAGAGGAAAGGAAAAGAGCACAAAGAAGAATTGGAAAATCCATGTGCTCCCTAGAAAGGTCCACCTTGGGCCATCATTATATGCTTTTCAGAGCCAGGTCAAGACCTCTCTATTTGACCAATATTTTAAAGCTAATCAATTTTAATTGTATATTTATTCATTTAATTCATTTTAATCATGTCATTCTATACTCAGTTGTGGTGTAGCCAATTTATTTTGTTTAGGTTTTTAATATATTGTAAGCCATCAAGAGACGACAGTAATAGATGGCCTATAAATTTCCTAAATAAATAAATAGTTTCTTATTATTTAGGCCTCCCCCATCCATTGAATCCTCAGATGCCCATTTTTCTTCCAAAATGGAAAGAAAGATCAGATACTGGTTATATCTTTTTGCATTCATCTAAGCAACTTTCAAAAGACAAGAGCAAAGACCAACCTGAACTGTTAGGTGGGCTGAAATCAAGCACCCCAGGTTGTGCAAAGCTTATCTGAAGCACGGACATTCAGGTCATGCAAAAGACTTGACTGCTGTATAAAAGGGTGTCTAGATTGCTTGCTTCTGGTTTTGCAGTTAGATTTGGGTTTTGCAGGAGGCCTGACTTCGTTCGAACTGGAAAGCTGCTCTTACGTGCTAGCAAACTAGATTTCCGGGCACTCAGAGTTAGAAGAAGAAATATCAGTGGAGAGAATAGACTAAGAGAAACTGCCCCTACCTTTGACATTGCATCAGCCCAATGAATTCATGGACAAGCCAGGACCTGAACTCAGGTCCCTGACATTCACACAAACCTGGGGTGATTTCTTCTCTGTGTGTCCCCTCGCCTACTCATCTTCCTCTCCCTTCTCTTTTAGGCAGAGATCGTGAAAAGGCTGAATGCTATCTGTTCTCAAATAATTCCCTTTCTGACGCAGGAGGTAAGAACACCCCCGTTTCCATGGATTCCCCAGTTGAAAGGCTGGACCATCGCTCAGGATAGGATTAGAGGCCTTAAGCCAATTTAGTGAAATATAAGTTGATAAACGAAGATAGGATGGCTTAGATCACAGGAAGGTACAATTCACAGGATCCAAAGTCACAGACCTTTAAGTGCTGCTTTCAGATTCTCTGCCTTTCTTTTTTTTAACACAAGCCAAACTCCTGTTATCAAATCAAGAACTGGGAACTGGGCTTGTGGTTCAGTGGCAGCCATGCCAGAACGGGATCCTCTCCGGCTTATCTCTGATCAGTGGTGATATGACCATTTCTCAGCTCTCTCAGCTAGGTTGCATTCGGATGTTTTAAAATCCCCCATTATGGAGGATATTTTAAAGTGTGTAGAAGGAGGGCATTTTCATGAGAGGGAGGGCTCCCCGACCCCGGAAATATCACCACACTGCCACTGCTTTAAAAATGCCCCATTCATGCCGATGCAGGGCTTAAAAACCTGTTTCCTTGGCCATGCTGTATATCCCTGGAGCAATTCTAATATCTCCAGGAAGGTGGGAGAAGCCCCCTGCCTGGGTCCCCAAGAGAAGGGCCCCCCCTTCAAAATCCGGGTGTGTTTCTCTCCTTCCAGCATCAACAGCAGGTCCTGCAAGCCATAGACCAGGCCAAGCAGGTCTCCATCGGAGAACTTAGCAGCATGGTTTCGGTGAGTGATCTGGAGACGCAGCAGAAACCTCTTCATCGGAATATGCGAAGGACGCTGCTGAATCAGCCCCACGGCCTGTATCCTCTGGCACCGTTTCTAAATTCCCCTGCAGAACTGGTGAGGTCTTGCAGATGGGATGTATTTGATGAAGAGGCAGGCCTGAAAGGTGATGGGGGTCCCAGGTGGACAACTGGCAATTCTATGATGGGAACAGGTGGGCGGGGCAGCACCAGACAGGTCTCCCCTTGAGCTTCAGCTGTTTCTCCAGCGGCAGAAACAGCAGCAGCAGCTGCAACACCTTTCTCCTCCTCCCCCTCTCATCCCACTGACCCGCTCACCTTTTGGGCTCTCAGACTTCAGGTATGACTGGTATGAGCACTGTTTCTGGACTCCTGCCCATGTCGGGGACCCTGGTGACTCAGCCCAGGGTCAGGGTGAAGGAAGAACAAGGAACACAGGACTCTGAAAGCAATCTAGGTAAGAGGACTAAACCGTGGCTGGGCTGGGGCTCATGGTTGGAGATCAGGTGTGCTAGACAGGTGGGTGGGGTGTGATTGGAGTCACACATCCCCAGGTTCAAGCTGCAGGCTGGACTCTAAGTGCAGGGATGCTGTGATTTTAGGTCCTGGTCTTGTAGAGGGGTCAATTTAAGAGGGCCCATTATATTCAGCCATGTAGAGTGCAGAGAATATTTCTTGCCACCATCTTAGTACCATGAAATGCTTCCCAACTACCTTCCTGAAAAAAAGCAGCCAAAAGGCTTGCTTGGAAGAAGGTCCTCTGAGCATGTTCACTTTTGCATTTCCAACTCTCTTGAAGGGTAGGCTGCTGCCACATGGACTGGAAAAAGAAAATGGAATTTGCTTTTGCACCTGACACTCTGGCTGGTCCTTTGGGGCCCCTGGGCTGGAGATCCCCAGGTGCTAACCTGATGGTTCAGTCCAAGTGGGTCAGTCCTTGGAATCAGCCCATGGAAGAACAATGGAACAGAAGATGGGAAAGACCATCTTCTGGGGCTGGCAGGGGAGCTGTTGTCATTCTGAGCTGTGTCAAGACAGAGCCCAGTTCCCCCCATTGTGGTGGAGACATGGAGGGCTGCATTTAGATATCACGTGCTCTTGCATATTGCTCATGGTGAGTTAGGAGGGAGTGTAAGGGAGGGCATTGAGCGTCACTGTTCCTATGCAGTGGAACAAAGATGTTCAAGCAGCTGCCAAAATTCAAGCATGTGCTCATTTGCATAGCTCCACCTTCCATCCATGCCACAGCACAAGGGAATGTTGGAAATGGGGTTTTGCATAGCTCCTCCCCTTTATGCACCTCTGCCTCCTCCCCAGTTCTAGGTTTTGCATCTAATGACCATGCAGAAATAGGCCATTACATAATATTGGGGAGCTGTTTTGCATAGCTCTTCCCTTTCGTTTGCCTAATCCTTATCCCAAAGTTTTAGTGTTTGGTCTGTGATGTTGCGAGAGTCTGCCTGTTTCTTTTTTAAATGGCCTCTGGTGTTGTTTATACACCATCAACGGTGTTTCTGGCACTTTTTGGGGAACACAAAGAACAAAGAGCGAAATAGGGCTTGGCCCCAACGAGCTTACAAATCTCATAGTACAGGCAGGGGGAAGAGGGAGGAGAAAAGATGGCAGAAAGGCAAGGCTTGTAGGCTTGTTCAGCCTCTGGCCCCAGCGTTTTTCATTCACCGCAGCTGTTTTTTTTCAGGTCAGAAAAGGGGTGGGGGGCACAAGTGGCTAAAGCATGCTGGGAAGGTTGGTGCTATTTTCGACCTCAGGGAGAGCTGAAGCATGTTGTTCGGAGCCTGAGAGGGGGCTTTGACATAAGGGCATAATTGTGGCTGGGAGATTCTGCTTCCCCATTAGCCCTGGCATATGAATAGAGGGACCTCAAGCCATCTAATTTCACTTTAATGGAAAGAAATGTTGTTCTTATCATTATTGATAATTATGTTTCTATACTGCTCATAGCTTGCTGGGTAATTCACTGTATTTAACCAACTCATCCAGGTTTCAACCAGGTCCAGCAGAGAAAAAGGTCATTCAATATCTATAAACATTCCAGTGACTTTGCCTTCTCTTATGCTACAGTCATAGTTAACCTGGTGTCCCCAAGAGGGGATGGACTGCAGATCCCATCATCCCCAGCCAACTGGTGGGAATTGTGGCCCGATCCATTGGGAGAGGACCCAGGTCAGGAGGGCTATTCTAAGAGAAAGTCAGTGCTGTTCTCCCCAAATCAGAGTGTTTGTGTGTGAGGTGGGGTGTTGATGGACTGGGTCTTGGTGCCTCTGATCATATGCAGAGTGTCATTTTCTCTGGTCATTCTAGACAGATTTTTTTAAACAGGAGGGCTGGTATGCACACTTGGATATTTGATGCTACTGTTCCTAAAGCAAAAGAACTCTGCCAACACAGCGATGTCCAAATGCTCCGGAAATGGAGAAGGGAAGGGACGGAAGCATAAAGCTTATAGCAAAAAGCTCCCCTACTTTATTCAGAATATATTAATCACAAAAATATGCATGCAGTATCTCCCAGTACGCAGTGAGGGCTATTTAAGTGTCCAAATTCTAAGGCACCAGAGATCACACAGAATAAGACCGCATAATTTCACTTTCTGCATATCTTTGTTCGCTTGTAAATTTCCCGCCTTTATGTTTGCAAGAATTTCAAAAGAAACCTGAGAAGGTAGAGACATTTGCTGAATAATGTTTCCCAGGCCTTGCATGGCCCTTTGCTTCTCCCTGTGGTGACCAAAACTGGAATTAAATTCCTGCAAAATTGGCTAAAAATCTGCTTCATTGATTCAGGGCACAACGTTTCCTGGCAGAATTTCCCACTTTACACTCGTAGCTCAGTAGAGGAAGTGCCATGGTTTTTCTGGCAGGATTGGAGTGACAGATGAATTTGTCTGGACTTGTGGAGCTCAAGGAATCTTATGAGCACTGCATGGAGACATCCTGGAATCCACCCAACGGAGCATGTTCATCGGGGAGCAGAAGAAACGGTTCCCCATTCGTTATGAATCGCTTTGCATGCAGGCCGGATCAAAGCCAAAGAGATTTGGCAGGGCTCTTTAGAAAGCTTTCTTGGCCGCAATGCATCGTGGGATTCCATCCAGCATCTGTTAGCCTTCCCGTTTCTTTGGTGCGTTTCTTTCTTGATCTGGGGGGAAATGAAAGTTGCCCCCCCCCCCCGTTTATCTCTCAACCTTTGTGCCACAGTTGGGACCAAGGCCTGTCGAGAAACATTTCTTGGTCAAGACCTCACCTCACAGCAAAAGTCTATAAATGTGGACTGTCCAATTGCAAACTGGTCACCTAGGGTGAGGAGAACTAAACTCCAGGTGACAAGATGGGGGATGCTTTCCAGTCAGGGTGGTTCTTTTAAAGCAGGGTGCAGAATCTCAGGCCGTGGAGGGCAGTCTAACGCTCTGTTCCCTTCTCCTCAGCTCTAACTGTCAATAGTTTGTTTTTTCTGAAATGAAAGTCATCCTTCCCTGAAAGGAGGTCAACAACCCCTCCTCTAAGGCCATAAATGACTCAGAAGTGGATGAGAGTATGGGCAATTCCACTTCAGACTGCCGGGGGATATGTGCCTGCTTTGGAGTATATCTCCAACAGATATTCACGCTTCCATGGCCCACCTAGAAATAAAAAATGACCACAACCAGGTTGGTCTTGAAGTACCTTCTGTCTGGTTTTTTGAGCAGGGACAAAGAACCTGTCTCCCACCAGATGCTGGATTATGATTTCCATCATCCCCAAACCCTTGGCTGTGCTGATTGGGGCTGATGGGAGTTGGAGTGTGACAAGATCTTGGGTGTTTTACCAAGTCTTTCTTTGTTATTGTTTGGTTTTAAACTTTTAATGTGTTTCTGATTTCATTTATTTTATTGTATTTTAACATCTTATTGTAACATCTTAACATCTGTTCTAAGTGGCCCAGAGAGCTTTGGCTGTGGAGTGGTATAGAAATGAAACAAAGAGATATCTCGAGAGTGCCACAGAATTACTCTTCTGTGAAAAAATGCTTATTTGCAGTTACTTGTTTAAACAAGCAGCACATTCCAAGGGGTTCTGCATCCCTGCTTCAAAAGATCTGGCGGGGAGAAAGTCTTGAAGGGCCTCTGTCCGTCAGAGTGAACAGTGCCCAAGATCAAAGAAAGATCCTGAACTGGTGCAAAGTCACTTCCTAAAAAAATCTGGGCTTTATTTAAAACAATGAGGACCATATCTTACCTGACATGTATGGGAAGAAAAAGGTCATGGTAAGCTAAGCTTTTTTCAAGGTTGCTTTAGGTTAGATTTATTTCATCCCATTCTAGGTTTGGAAATTTTTAATTTTAAGTGTTCTTGTTTTTAATAGCAAAAAGTAAACTGCTTGTGTCAGTTATCCAAAGACTTGTTGGCTCTTGGCAGGGCTTCTGGGAGCAAGTGGACCTCCTTATTAAGCAGTTGGGATGGTGAAGCTGTAGGATCAGGTTGCAATTCTGTGCCATCTTATCTGGAAGTGCATGCCCTGGTGTGTTCTGTGGGATTTCATTCTGAATAGGCCTTGGAAATATTGAACTTTCAAAAAAAAATCTTCTACTTTACTAAGCAAGTCAACTAGAAACTCCCTTCCTTCAGAAGGCAATTGCTGATTGTGGTTCTTTGCTGGTGATGGAATGGCACTTTACACATGTTCAGAGGCACTGCTTTATTTATTGCATGTTCTGGACCTGACCCACTGTTGAAAAGATTCAACCCGGATCTTTTCAACTTCTCGAGGAACTCCACCCCAAATCAAACAGGACAGGGGTGTGGAAACTTGCTTTGCATGTGTTGTCAGATTCCTGGATCAACCATCCCTGGACCTTGGCTGTGCTTGTTGGGGCAGATGAGAACTGTTGTCCAATTATAGCTGTCTCCCCCATTCACCCTCCCCCATTCTCCTGCCTGGGCCTAGACTGCAAAACTTGCATTCATGCAACAGCCCTGCCTGCACAAAACTTTTCTGGTTATATTTAACTCCAGAATTACTACAGATTACAAATATCATCAAATGTTTGCCTTTTTCTTCTCTTTTTTCTCCAATTGTTGGGATGGCTGCTGGTTGGCA